TACACATAGTGCACGTCTAATTAGAGTTAAGCCAGTCAGCGTGGTAGCCCAGGCACACATATTCATAGGCCACTATTGTTAAGCCGGTCGGCGTGGTAGCCCAGGCACACATATTCATAGGCCACTATTGTTAAGCCGGTCGGCGTGGTAGCCCAGGCACACATATTCATAGGCCACTATTGTTAAGCCGGTCGGCGTGGTAGCCCAGGCACACATATTCATAGGCCACTATTGTTAAGCCGGTCGGCGTGGTAGCCCAGGCACACATATTCATAGGCCACTATTGTTAAGCCGGTCGGCGTGGTAGCCCAGGCACACATATTCATAGGCCACTATTGTTAAGCCGGTCGGCGTGGTAGCCCAGGCACACATATTCATAGGCCACTACTGTTAAGCCGGTCGGCGAGGTAGCCAAGGCTCACAAAGTCATAGGCCACTAGCATTAAAGAGCAGGTCATATGGTTTTTTGAAAAATATATAATTTGCAGTTTATAACGTAGCATTTATAACGACTTGGGGGAAGTCGTAGCCTAATGGTTAGAGAGTCGGACTCGTAACCCAAGGTTGCGAGTTCGAGTCTCGTACTGGCAGGGATTGTAGGTGGGGGGAGTGAATGTACAGTGCTCTCTCTCCCCCCTTCAATACCACGATTGAGGTGCCTTTGAGCAAGGTACCGAACCCCCAATTTACGCCGCAGCATAAATGGCTACCCACTGCTCCGGGTGTGTGGTCACGGTGTGTGTGTGTTCACTGCTGTGTGTGTGCACTTTGGATGGATTAAAATGCAGAGCACTAATTCCCTAGTATGGGTAACCGTACTTGGCCACATGTCACGTCACTTATCACTTACTTAGCTATACTTAATTGAGAACAATCTGCAAAGTTGTTAATCAAAAAAGTGCATGATAAATAAAGATATTGTCTCTCAAAAGAGAGAGTCGATTCTGAATCGCCTTAACGAGTCATCATATTTTCTAATCTTTTGCCTGTTACCGGTATACGTCACTGGGTAACACATTTGCTTAATCCCTGCCTGCCCGCGAATTACGAACAGAGTCTGACCTGCCCACAAACACTTCCGCTAGTTAGTGTGTTTACATCACGCTGAGAAGACACTGTGTTCAAGGATACCACAGAAATACAATTTGAACCTTTTGTTTGTCTCCGTTGGCTTCTAATCTTCTTAATTTGAACTAACAAGCTCTCCGAACCACAACCTGTAAGTACGATTGATACGTTATGTGTACATGGTAGCCCAGGCACACATATTCATAGGCCACTATTGTTAAGCCGGTCGGCGTGGTAGCCCAGGCACACATATTCATAGGCCACTACTGTTAAGCCGGTCGGCGAGGTAGCCAAGGCTCACAAAGTCATAGGCCACTAGCATTAAAGAGCAGGTCATATGGTTTTTTGAAAAATATATAATTTGCAGTTTATAACGTAGCATTTATAACGACTTGGGGGAAGTCGTAGCCTAATGGTTAGAGAGTCGGACTCGTAACCCAAGGTTGCGAGTTCGAGTCTCGTACTGGCAGGGATTGTAGGTGGGGGGAGTGAATGTACAGTGCTCTCTCTCCCCCCTTCAATACCACGATTGAGGTGCCTTTGAGCAAGGTACCGAACCCCCAATTTACGCCGCAGCATAAATGGCTACCCACTGCTCCGGGTGTGTGGTCACGGTGTGTGTGTGTTCACTGCTGTGTGTGTGCACTTTGGATGGATTAAAATGCAGAGCACTAATTCCCTAGTATGGGTAACCGTACTTGGCCACATGTCACGTCACTTATCACTTACTTAGCTATACTTAATTGAGAACAATCTGCAAAGTTGTTAATCAAAAAAGTGCATGATAAATAAAGATATTGTCTCTCAAAAGAGAGAGTCGATTCTGAATCGCCTTAACGAGTCATCATATTTTCTAATCTTTTGCCTGTTACCGGTATACGTCACTGGGTAACACATTTGCTTAATCCCTGCCTGCCCGCGAATTACGAACAGAGTCTGACCTGCCCACAAACACTTCCGCTAGTTAGTGTGTTTACATCACGCTGAGAAGACACTGTGTTCAAGGATACCACAGAAATACAATTTGAACCTTTTGTTTGTCTCCGTTGGCTTCTAATCTTCTTAATTTGAACTAACAAGCTCTCCGAACCACAACCTGTAAGTACGATTGATACGTTATGTGTACATTTTCAATTGAGTGCTCAAAATATAAAGTTTTTGTGCTAATATGTGATGTATACCTAGCGCAGCTTTAGGCAGGTAAAGCACGATATTACTGTCTTACTGAAGTAGTTCTGATAATTCGCTGTAAACCCACTATTTCCTAAGAATGTGACGATTAATGTAGACTGACGTTGTTCTAATTACTTTGTTTAATAATAAGGAATGTAGTGGAGCACATAGACTTTATAATCATAGTGAAATTGCTGTTTATTTTGCTGCACCGGCAGTTATAGGGTTATAGGGTCTTTTTTGCTTTTGTTAATTGTATAATAAATGAAAAGAAAACAAAATACAAAAAGATAAGAAAGCTAGAGTTAGTTTTTTTTTAAAGAAAACAAGCAACAAATGAATAGAGAGCAAGTCTAAAAGGGGCAAGTGTTTTTTTTTTAAGAATAGAATTTGAATAGAGTGCTAGAGTTAGAGGGTCAAATAAAGATGGAAGAGATGTGTTTTTAGCCGATTCTTGAAGATGGCTAAGGACTCTTAGGCTAATTGTGAAAAACCATATTTTGTTTTTTCACAAACTGTATTGTTTCATCAGTTAGTCACGTTAGCATTTGGCTAACCTACCCACCACTATTGTTTTAAGTGTTCACAGTTTAGCAGCTAAACTTTAGCTGTGGGCACGATTCGCTTGCATAAGTGTTTTTGTATTTCATGTCATTATTATATGAACGGATTGGAGCACTATATTATTGTTTTATGTGAAGGTGTTTTGTCAATGGTAGCGCTCGCTAACTGGCTCAAGGACTCCTCTCTGTGCCAATCACAACAGGCTTGGCCAGCTGACCAATCAGAGCAGAGTAGGCATATGAAAGGGAGGGGTTTGCTCCGAACTTGCTTGGAATGATTCGTTTTGAAATCATTGGCAAATGACTCTAATATTAAATGTATATTCTGAGAAAATTACAATGTTTTCTGACCTTAGCTGCATTTAAACCTGTTGTAGGGGACTCCAACACAATATTAGGACACTTTAAAATACCATATGACCTGCTCTGTAAGCCGGTCGGCGTGGTAGCCCAGGCACACATAGATAATAATACATGCGGTTCACATGGCTCTTCGGAGCAGCAGCAGTACATATGTCTTGGCGATAGATCTGCTTTGTTGGGGGGTGTCTTGTCTTTCCTTGTCTGTTCATCTTCATGTGCGTGGATGCAGCAGTTTAACCTTATATTCAGTGGCATGCATATATTGGCTTGTACTGTATTGTGTTCCGTGTCTCCTGCTTTATTGGGGGGTTATTCATATGTGTTATATGTGCAACAGCAGTTTTCGCTACATGCTTACAGCAGCATGTTGTGGATGTATTGGCAGTAACAAGTCTCGGTACTTGCTCTGCCGCAGCAGCAGCAGCATAGCATATGCTTGGTGTAATAGCAGATCTATTACACCAAGACCAAATACATTAACATTGTCATGTACATTACCATGTCAATCCCTCCGAGAGTTGTCATGACAGAAATGGAGAGTTCTGGCATAAAACTCTAGATGGCGCAGTCTGATAGGTCTAACTCAATCTGTCCTAATGACATCATTATCACATGGCACAGCTGATTGGTTTTCTCCTGTATCAGTAGCCAATGAGCTCACTGCTCAATATTCAAATACCTGGTATTCATATACCTGGCTTTTGTTTGCTGTAGCAGTTCGCAGCGCACTTCAGAAACCCTCCACCTTCCCCAGCTCCACCTGTATAGATCTGCTACGAGGTGATTCATGTATGCTATAGGGGTTATACATATGTGTTATATGTGCAGCAGCAGTATTTCTTACATGCTCACAGCAGCATGTTGTGGATGTATTGGCAGTAGCAAGTCTCAGTACTTGCTCTGCCGCAGCAGCGTAGCAGATCTATTCCACCAAGACTAAATACATTAACATTGTAGTGTACATTAACCATGTCAATCCCTCAGAGAGTTGTCATGACAGAAATGACTGTATCAGATTTTTTATCATAATAATTTAATATTTTATAATAAAATCTTAGACATTTCTAAAGATTTATAGTTAAAGGCCCCCTGCATGTTAACAGGGGCAAACAAGTGTAAATTATGCTTGCCCTTTAATTTTCTTTCTGTGTGCATTTCATTGAAATGTACAGTATAGCACTTAAATTTAGCCATTTTTAAAGCATCATAATAATTTTGAGTTGTTTCCAAGGACAAGAGGCAGAATCACTTTACAATCTAGGATGTGGCCTAGGTGATGGCAAATAGATTTTTTCCCTGTCAGCTTAGTCTTTTGTCTGCTCTGTTCTACATGGTGATTGTTCAGTCTAGATACATTCATTAGCTAACAAAATTTGAAATGTTAGTTCTTTTGTATTAATATGATGTGAGGCCCAGTTACCAGCGTGACACTACAACAAGTAGTAGTAATGGCTACTTTTTACTTAAGTACGTCATAGCCCATTCGTCTTTACTTTAACTTGAGTAAAAAGTGTAGTCAGTGCATCAACTTTCACCAGTCCTTTTACACATGAGTATCTTTACTTCTACTTTAGTAAAAGATGTGTGTAAGTTTGACATCTCTGGTGTCTATTCAAAGAATGGCACACAAATATTGTCATTATTTTCTGATTGATGTGACAATATTTTTTTCACAACTATTTCATTATATTTAAGTCTTTAAATTGTTAAATAGATGACCCTAATTATTATAATTTTTTTGCTAATGGTTTTTCATAGACAATGAAGATTTAAGGAAGATCAGTGCTTAAGTCTCTGTGGGTTACAATCAAACAATCATAATATTTAACTCACCTGAGTTTCTCCAGTGTGCAGTTTGTATCTTCTAATCTGTTCTGGAGTTTCTTCACTCCTGAATCCTGCAGATTATTGTTGCTCATGTCAAGCTCTTTCAGACTGGGGTTTGATCTCAGGACTGTAGCGAGAGCTGAACAGCTTTCCTCTGTTAGACCACAATTACACAACCTAAAATGAACGTGAGATGGAGAATTTACAAACACAAAGTACTTGATTCCAATATTCAGTGACTACTGAGAATCACCATTTTGGTCAAATTATTTCTTTAAAATAGTTTAAATTAGGGATGGGTCACGATTTTCGAATATTCGATTAGTTGATTTAATTATAGAATATCGAATAGGTTGTGTGATTATTGTCTTTAAAAATCTCCCCATGTTTTCTGAGCTGATGCGGTGGTGACGCCAGGGTGCGAACTACGGGGGAGCTAGGGGGAGCTCGGCTCCCCTGAAAACGTGATTTGTGAAATTTTGGGGGGTCTCAAAAAATATTGACTGTTATTTTGACGTGCAATTTCAGTTTTGTGTAATGTGATCATCATGGATTATGTGTAAAATTGCAAAAATATAATTCATTCATGCATGACGGCAATTTAAACCTAATTCACTTCAATAAAGATAACTATACATGCTATTCTTGTCATGCCCCCCTCGTTATAAAAAAATTAATAAAAATTGGGCTCCCCCAAAGTCCACGGTATAGTTCGAACACTGGGTGACGCCTTCATGTAAGCAGAGGGTGGCACTGCCAATAACGCACCTAAAAGCTGTCAAAGACAACAGAAGATGGAAGATGGATTTTTGGAATCGAGTCCGATTCCGATTCCTGGTTCTCGATTCCAAGAATCGATTCCTCACTGTTGTTTTCGATTCTTGTTATTTTTGGATTGAAGGAACCTAATCTTACCATGACTGCAGGATAAAGGTCGTAGAAAGTATTCTTCTCATAATACGAATTTGTAAAAAAAAAAAAATAAATAAATAAAAAAAGACGATACATAAATTGTAATTTTGTCTGCTTTGCCTGTGAAATTAGTCACAGCCCACAGATCAGCAGTGGACATGTGTTTATCCCATGAATTGAACAAGACATGAAGTGTCTAAAACAAATGTGCACAGTTCAGCTGAATGATGAAGTTTACTTTGAATGTATGCTTTGCACAAAATTAACAAACTGTACACTGAAACAAAATAACTAGAACATTAACAATAACTGACAGAGCTCGTGGTTCATCTGTCAATCAGGACTGTGCTCTAGGCCACTGATCTATGCTCGTGACGTTTTTTTTTTTTTTTTTAATTATCATTGGCTGGTAAAAATGTTTTTAAAAATAGTATTTTAGATGTAAATACGATCAAGACCCTCGATCACGTCATGATCTATTCTGTCGTGCAGTGCTCAAAATTGTGGACAAGCCAGTTCCGTAAATAACCTCTGAATCTTTTTTTAACTGGTTCATTAAAACTATCTATCCGAATCAGGAAACTAATCAGACTTCTAGTCACTTTTAGCGACCATGAGGGAGGCGAATGGTAATAAAAATATAAAAATTAAAATAATCTTTTCTCTCACAACTCTCGTAATTACGGCTTCTAGCGAGCATGAAGGTAGTGAATGGTGCTTCTCAAACGGAAGGCTGCATCCTAAAATTCAGATGATCTCAGTATGACTAGTTTTCTTTCGGTTTATTTTCATGAATTTAAAGGGGTCATCGGAGGCAAAATTCACTTTTCAAGTTGGTTGAACATAAATGTATGTTGGAAGTGTGTGTACACATCCATCCTATAATTATAAAAATCCATTCAGTGTTTTTTTTTTTAAATCCCTATTTTAAAATCCCCTTTCTCAAACCAGGCTGTTCTGAGATTCCTGTCAGAATGACGTAGTTCTGTACAGGCCCCTCCCACGATAGTTGATTGACAGTAGTGTTTCAGCACAGACTGGACTGGTGTCTTACCTTAGACCCACCCTGAGTGAGCTGTCATCAGTCCGCCATTGTGTTGACTCTGGTGCAGGGGAAGACACGATGTCTCTGATTAAGCGATTGAGGTGCTTTATTGTTGGATGTAATAATGAATATAGCAATCGTCATTTACTCCCGACATCTGAGCTGCTGAAGACGCAGAGGATTAACGTTACTTTCGCTTTGAAGTGAATGCGCCACTCCCGATCAGCGTAAATGCATTGTTCGCTCGAATCATTCGTGATCCAGCCTCATCTACAGAAGAAGTGAGTATAAGGGTTTTTTATGAATCTTTGCAAATCACCTTTCCTAATAATGCGCTAATTAGCAAGTTTCACGATGAATGCGGCTAAAGTAAACAGTCTCTCTGAGAGCAGCTCAGAAGAGAGGGGCGGAGAGCTCATTAACATTTAAAGCAACATGGACTATAATGGCTTGATAAAAACAGAGCTGATTTTGACAGGTTTAAAAAGGTGTTTTTTACACTAACATTGAGAAATTTTAACCAAAGTATGTTATAGACTTTTAATTAAGACTCTAAAGAATCATATCAACTTGTGCAAAATGAGCATCCGATGACCCCTTTAAATGTGTGCAGCCTTCGTAGGATGCAGCCTTCCGTTTGAGAGGCACCCATAGATAAGTTTGTTGAACTGAAAAAGCCTCTGAATGAGGAGTTGATTCCCCTTGATGGGATTGATTCCAACCTTTGGAATCGACTCTCGGTTCCCAACGGCTCGGAATCGATTCTTTTTGGAATCGATTCCCAGCCCTAGCTTTTCTCTCACAACTCTCGTAATTACGGCTTCTAGCGAGCATGAAGGTAGTGAATGGTGCTTCTCAAACGGAAGGCTGCATCCTAAAATTCAGATGATCTCAGTATGACTAGTTTTCTTTCGGTTTATTTTCATGAATTTAAAGGGGTCATCGGAGGCAAAATTCACTTTTCAAGTTGGTTGAACATAAATGTATGTTGGAAGTGTGTGTACACATCCATCCTATAATTATAAAAATCCATTCAGTGTTTTTTTTTTTAAATCCCTATTTTAAAATCCCCTTTCTCAAACCAGGCTGTTCTGAGATTCCTGTCAGAATGACGTAGTTCTGTACAGGCCCCTCCCACGATAGTTGATTGACAGTAGTGTTTCATCACAGACTGGACTGGTGTCTTACCTTAGACCCACCCTGAGTGAGCTGTCATCAGTCCGCCATTGTGTTGACTCTGGTGCAGGGGAAGACACGATGTCTCTGATTAAGCGATTGAGGTGCTTTATTGTTGGATGTAATAATGAATATAGCAATCGTCATTTACTCCCGACATCTGAGCTGCTGAAGACGCAGAGGATTAACGTTACTTTCGCTTTGAAGTGAATGCGCCACTCCCGATCAGCGTAAATGCATTGTTCGCTCGAATCATTCGTGATCCAGCCTCATCTACAGAAGAAGTGAGTATAAGGGTTTTTTATGAATCTTTGCAAATCACCTTTCCTAATAATGCGCTAATTAGCAAGTTTCACGATGAATGCGGCTAAAGTAAACAGTCTCTCTGAGAGCAGCTCAGAAGAGAGGGGCGGAGAGCTCATTAACATTTAAAGCAACATGGACTATAATGGCTTGATAAAAACAGAGCTGATTTTGACAGGTTTAAAAAGGTGTTTTTTACACTAACATTGAGAAATTTTAACCAAAGTATGTTATAGACTTTTAATTAAGACTCTAAAGAATCATATCAACTTGTGCAAAATGAGCATCCGATGACCCCTTTAAATGTGTGCAGCCTTCGTAGGATGCAGCCTTCCGTTTGAGAGGCACCCATAGATAAGTTTGTTGAACTGAAAAAGCCTCTGAATGAGGAGTTGATTCCCCTTGATGGGATTGATTCCAACCTTTGGAATCGACTCTCGGTTCCCAACGGCTCGGAATCGATTCTTTTTGGAATCGATTCCCAGCCCTAGCGTGGCATAAAAAAGACTTGCGTAGCATATAATGGTTACAGTAACTTGGGACGATGTCAAATAAGAGTTCTGTGCGGACCACAAACACCCCCGACTGGGTTAGAGGTGTGGCTGAATCCATATTCAGAAAGGTGCGGAAAACAAATTACGTGTTCTACGCATTCTAAAGGGACATAGTTAGCCGCTTGCTAACGGTAGCCTGTTACTTTACAGTACATAACATTTCACTTACCACAAAAACAGAGTAGGGTAGGTTGACTGATAGGATGATGGCGAATGATTTGCAGATACTGAGCACCACTGACAAACATCTAATATTGTAAAATGTGTGGTAAGTACTGCCGAGTGCTGCTCCGTATGTGTGATCGCGAATCTCGCAAGTGAAAGTAAAAACAAGCGCGCATTCAAAAGCGATTTAAATGCCCCGCATATTAATAACGGCTCCCTGATGCCCACAGTTTATATACAGTATAATTACCCAACGATATAATTGCAACAGAATATATTGAAGTATATTTTTCCTCCCATCTCGTATCTATTCCCTTTAGGGGTTCCATTTTTTAAAATGGAAATGTCCTAGCCTTATGAGCAGTTAATTTATGCTAATCGACAGTTATTTTAATAAGTGCCGTCATTCGGTTGTGTTTATTATATTAATATGTTTCAGCACGTTACAATCATTATATGGCTTGAGTTAAGGTAGCCTTATCTTATGAATTAAACAGTTTATCATACAGATTGAAAGTGTGAATGCCGTCTCTTTCCCCCTCTCTCAGGTGTTTGTGCGTGCATGTGGGGGAGGGGTGTGATTTAAAAATAATAATCGAATAATACCCTGCGATTTTCAAATATAATTTTTGCTTGGAATGCCCATCCCTAGTTTAAATCTACAATAATAAATAAAAACATTACTCACGTCAGTGTGTTGAGTGTACAGTGTTTATCCTGCAGTAGAGCAGAGATCTGATTCACTCGTGTGTCTCCTAGCTTCTGTTCACTCAGATTCAGCTCTCTCAGGAGTAACGGGTTTTTACCCACAATTCCAGTCACATACTGACATGCTTCATCTGCAGCAGGACCCAAAAACCTGGAGATAGAGGAAGTACATTGATATTACTTGTTTTATTATGATTTGTTTTCAAAAGCTTGTATTTGAGCTTTTAGTAATTTCAAAGCTTTTAAAACGTCCTTTTGACGGTTTAATAAAACTGTTTTAAAACACTTTATAATTTTAAAACTCACCTCAGTATTTTCAGTGAATACCATCGACTTTGGAGTAAATCACTGAGCTGCTTCACTCCTGATTGTCCAGGATCATTTCCTGTGAGATCCAGCTCTATCAGGTGTGAAGGGTTTGATCTCAGCGCTGAAGCCAGAGCTATATAACCTTCTTCAGTGATACTGCAGTCTGAAAGTCTACAGAAGAGGTTTTATTATTATTTAAATGTATTATTTATTTTAATAATAATAATAATTAAAAATTATTTTATATAAAAAAGGCAAATGCATTCTATTTCTTCTTGTGGTCAGAGAACAAAAACATAATTCACCATCTGACAGAAGCATGTATTTTCCTTTTCTTTAGTTTACTAATTACTACAGTATTTTAACTTTGATCAAAAGAGAATGGTATTATTAAAATTAAACAACGGTTCATTGAACTCACCTGAGATTCTCCAGTTTGCAGTTTTTATCTTCTAATTCGAGTTTCTTCACTCCTGAATCCTGCAGATTATTGTTGCTCATGTCAAGCTCTTTCAGACTGGAGTTTGATCTCAGGACTGTAGCGAGAGCTGAACAGCTTTCCTCTGTTAGACCACACTTACGCAGACTAAAATATTAAACATGAGAGAGAGAATTTATAAACAAAGTACTTGATGCAAATATTAAAATATTACTAAAGATGAATGTGTTTGGCCAGTGTAAGACTTAATTTCCTTTAGATTTTAAATGCATAAAAATAAATTAAAATAATACTCACTGAAGTGTGCTGAGTTTACAGTGTTTATCCTGCAGTAGAGGAACAAGCCGATTCATCTTAGAGTCACCTAATTTACATCCACTCAGATTCAGTTCTCTCAGGAGTAGCAGGTTTTTACCCACAATTCCAGTCACATACTGACAGGCTTCATCTGCAGCAGGACTCAAAAACCTGCAGAAGAGAAGATGAAGCAGGATTCAATTTAAAAAAACTTCCAATAGAAAAAAATATATAATAAAATGGGTAATCTTAAATATACATAGATGCAACATATTGGATTACTGAAATAATTTTTCTATAAAAATAATTTGCCAGCATATCATTCATTTCATTATTTTTTATTTATTTATTTTTAACCACATCTCACCTCAGTGTCTTCAGCTGACAGTTTGGATCCTGTAGTAAATCACTGAGCTGCTTCACTCCTGATTGTCCAGGATCATTTCCTGTGAGATCCAGCTCTATCAGGTGTGAAGGGTTTGATCTCAGAGCTGAAGCCAGAGATTTATAACCTTCTTCTGTGATACTACAGTTTGAGAGTCTAGAACCGAAATGTTATTGTTAACACTTTACAATACGCTAGGAATGTCCTGAACAATATTAACCTATAAACAGGAAACCGTTTTAGAATTGTGTTCCTTGTTCAAATGAACTTAAAAATATTTAAAAACACCTCATGACTGAATATAGAGGCAAACAAAAGGTCTACACCATCATGTCAGCCTTTTGTCTGTTGTCATACAACTTACCTCAGTATCTCCAATTCACACGTTATATTCCTCAGTCCATTGCAGAGCAGCTTCACTCCTGAATCCTGCAGATTATTATTGTTCATGTTCAGTTCTTTCAGATTGGTATCTGATTCAAGAACCGCAGCCAAAGCTGAACAGCTTTTGTCTGTTAAGTTACAATCATTTAACCTACAAAAAAAAAAAAATAATAATATATTAATTTAATTAACTTCAATTTCCATTACTGCATTCTTTAAAAGACAAAAAAAATGTTATACTTTTGAAATATACTTACATTTGGTATATGACTAGGAATCCCTATAGATAAGTAAATTATTGTATTTTTCTGATGAGAGCAAAACATTAATATTAAATGACTTACAGAGCTCTTTTGGAGGATTTAATGACTGACGATAATTTAATGAGACAACCATCTGATTTCCTGAATTTCTGAAGCTCAAACTCCTCCAGCTCGTCCTCTGATGTCAACAACACAAAGGCCACAGCAGACCACTGGGCAGGAGAAAGATCAGCAGATGAGAGACTTCCTTTGCTAAGGTGAGTCTGAATATCTTTCACTAGAGTTTGGTCGTTCAGTTCATTCAGACAGTAGAACAGATTGATGGATCTCTCTGGAGACAGATTAGCTTCAAATTTCTGCTTGATGTACTGAACTATTTCCTTTTTGCTCTGGTCATTTCTATTTTGCTGTGTCAACAGACCTCGTAAGAGTAGCCGATTGGATTGGAGTGACAGACCAAGAAGGAAGCGAAGGAAAAGGTCCAGGTGTCCATTGTCACTCTCAAGTGCCTTGTCCACTGCAGTCTTGAGCAAATCAATCATGGTGTCATTTTTGTTTTCCTGTTCTGTATAGTCTTGAACAAACACACTTTTCTTGTTGATGTCTAGAAAAAGATGTGCATAATGGGCTGCAATAAACTCTTGAATGCTCAAGTGAACAAAACAGTACGTGGTACCAAGAATGATCCCTGTTTCCTCCTTAAAGATCTGGGTACACATGCTTGAATACACTGATGCTTTAGAGACGTCAATACCACAGGCTTCCAGATCTGTGTCATAAAAGAGCAGATTGTTTCTTTGCAGCTGATGAAATGCCAGTTTCCCCAGTGAGAGGATGGTGTCTTTATCCCAGGAAACATCTGGTGTGTATTCTCCATCATACTTCCGTCTGCTCTGCTGGATCTGAAAGCGGAGAAAGTGTGTGTACATTTGTGTCAGAGTCTTGGGAGTGTCTTCAGTGTTTGATTCCTGCAGTGTTTTGGAGGCGTCATCAGCCTGATTGTTCTTCAGATTTCTTCTCTCCTCTAAAATGTTCTGGAGAACAGTGGCTGAAATCCAGCAGAAGACTGGGATGTGGCACATAATAAAGAGACTCTTTGATTTTTTAACGTGATCAGTGATTTCTTTGGCCAGATTTTCATCTGTGAATCTTTTTCTGAAGTACTCCTCCTTTTGTGCATCATTGAATCCTCTGACCTCTGTTACCCGGTCAATACATTCGGGAGGAATCTTACTGGCAGCTGCTGGTCTGGTGGTGATCCAGATGAGAGCAGAAGGAAGCAGATTTCCCTTGATGAGGTTTGTGAGGAGAACATCCAGAGAGGCTGGTGACGATACATCAGACCATGTCTCATTACCGTCAAAGTTCAGAGGAAGACGACATTCATCCAAACCATCAAGAATGAACAGGACTTCAAAGTCATTTCTTCTTGTAAGATTCAGTCCTTTTGTCTCTGGAAAAAACTCATTTAGAAGACCCATCAAGCTTTGCGTTTTTTTCTCCTTTAAGTTCATCTCTCTGAATGGAAGTGGAAATATGAAGCTGATATCTTGATTTTCTTTTCCTTCAGCCCAATCCAGAACAAACTTTTGCACAGACATGGTTTTTCCAATGCCAGCAACTCCTTTTGTCAGTACAGTTCTGATCTTTTTGTCTTGTTCAGGTGCTTCAAACAAATTTGTGCATTCAACCTGTATCTCTTGTGATTCATGACGCCTGGAAGCAACTTCAATCTGTCTTACCTCATGTTCAGTATTGACTTGTTCACTACAACCCTGAGTGATATAGAGATCTGTGTAGATGTTATTCAGAAGCATAGAATCGCCTTGCTTTGCAATTCCTTCAAAGACACATTGATACTTCTTCTTTAGGCTACATTTTAGCTGATGAATGAAGAATAGCTCATCTAAACAACAGAATAAAAATACAGATATGTTTTATGTTCTTCCCTACATTTATAAGTGACAATATGGCAAATGGTGGGTATCTTACCTTCTAGAGTGTCAGCAGCTTCAGCTTGCTTCATCTCTCTCAAGAAGTAGAGTGTGAGATCGAGAGCTGCTTCTTTGATACTGCATCTGTTCTCATTAAAGTTCTTCACAAAGTTTTGTGTGTTCTCTTTTTGTAATAGTTTCTTAAAATTTTCCAGCTCATTTTTCAGAAATTGTATTATTTCCTTCTCAAGATCCTACAAACAAAGCCAAAAAAGAAGACATAACAACAATAACTTATATTTAGAAATATAAAACCTTAAGAAAATATGATTTTCTACCTGGAAGATCCACATAATATTGTCTATAAAATTCTTGTGGTTCTTGTGAGTCTGGGAGTTTGAATCTAATGTCTCATACTGAAGTCTGTAAGCAAATAAAGAAAAGAAAATATTGTGTATTCAGGATAAACTATCACAAAAATCTCTTGTAAATATTTTTAGCAAAGAGAAAAGGAAAGCATTAGTTGTGAGTACTGTGATAAATATTTTAAAGTCAAATATATATATTCAAAAAGGTTCATAATAAGTATTTACTGTTTTCACAGTCTATGTGTGACCAAAAATAAGAAACACATGAAATACCTTTTGGTTGATGTTTTTTTCTCACTGAAGTTTGGCATGTCACCTTTTGAGCGTTCACTCTTCACAGACACAGAGCTGAACACATGTGACCCTGATCTTACACTGACAAACAAACAAAACAATATATTGGTAGATGATGTTTTTTTTCTCACTGATGTAGCATTTAAACTAACCAGACACACAATTGTTCATTAGATTTAACATATAATCACAGACCCCCTCACCTATCTAAAGGCCCCGATATACTTCAAACGAAATCAAAGAACGAACTGAAATGACATAATTTCGAACAAAATCAGGCCGAAACGAAGTTCGTTTTGGCAGTTCGGAACAGCTCACCAAAGCGAACTTTTTGGGAGAGTTCGTTTTGGCTCCTAAACATCTTTGAGCTACCATTGGTCCGTGACGATTACGCAGTCGGTGGGTGTGTTCTGGAACTCCGCCTTCTTTGACATGCAATTTCCATGTTTCACATATGGCGATACCCTTTTCAAGAGATCGTCAAACAGCACGGCGCACATTCTGAAGTATGAAAAATGCACTTCCTCATCTGTGCTCTGCATTTGCTGAATAAAACGGGCAAACTCGCCATCATTCTTTCTGTTTTCATTAAGTGGACGCACATACCATCCACGATGCTTGTTCTCGTTCTTTTTATTTGCCATTGAATAGATCAATGCTACTGCCAGATGTTTATGAAACTGTTCTTCTCTCATAGCCGCCATCCTTGTTGTGTTTAGGGGGTACACGCGGGCGGCGTGACACATGTTTACAACCTTGAATGTTTTCTCTGACACCCCCGAATGTTCGAAAACAGTATACCGTTGCTTAGCCTTTTCAAACTTCTTTTTGCCCTCAAATGAAAAACGGAAAATAACTTTGTTTGAAGTATATCGGGGCCTTAAGTGACTGGGTGCTGAGATGTCTGCGAACTACCCACCAGGCCCCAGGTTACTATGGCAACTAGGACACCTCAGCCAGACCAGATAAACTTTACGACCTAATGGCATATTGAGAGTTCTCCCTCTCACCACCTTTATCCAAAGGAAAGACTCATAATGCCCATAAAAATGACTCTTCTCTAATTAATTCATATATATATATAAAAAAAACTTTCCTTGAAGGAACACATATCCTCAGGTCATGGTGTACTTAATTACTGTTCTTTTATAAAACGGATAGTTCCTTGATTCTGATTGGTTGAGCAGCATTCAAAGCTGTAGTAAATTACTCTACAAACATACACCTTTGTTTAGGTCTGTGTGTTGCTCGGCAACCACTTTGTTGGAACCACAACCATTTCTGAGGAACTGCATTGTTTGGCAGAAGGATAATGTTTTTATTAATATCACTATTCATTACATTTTATTTGCTTTGTTTTATTTTGTGAAATCTTGCTACATATATGAAATAACCATTTTATAAAAGCAATAAGCCCCATGAAGCCGTGGTTTATAGTGAATTTATAACAGCTAAGGGGGTTTTAACAACAACGGCCCTTAGCTGCTATAAATTCACTGTAAACCACGGCTTCATGGGGCTTATTGCTTTCGTATATTGTCTTTTGTATTGTATACTGTTTTATGCATGTGTTATGATAGATCACTAGTAAGAAAACTCTCCAAATCACCACCGAGTCAGATTAACATCTTTGGAGCTCATCACTATTCAGACCCGGAAGAACATGATCGCGATTCCAACACCACCAATGCTTCAAACCATCAAGACTTTCATCCGAGACTGCATTCGGACGCTCGTTCAATGACCAAGGCAATGCAAGTATAATACATTTAACTAAATGAAACAGAGGTTTAGTATAAGCTGTAGACACCGTTGTAAAACGGTGCTGATGGTTTCACTCAGGTGGTTAACTGACTCTTTTCAGAGCTTCACTCCCTGTTTCTCTAATGGCTTTATTCATCTAGCCTGTCTTG